TGAATCTTGTCCTGATGGCCATAAACACATGGCACAACATAGGAGAACAAACCCATCAGGACAAGATTATTGACCCATCTGTCTTCCCTTATTGACTTTGCTTGTCAGAAGGCCCTGGGGAGTTCACAAATGGTGATCACAAGACTCTGGGATGCTGCAACCATTGTTAATACATACTAGTTGGCAAGTGCCCAAATTGTGTCCACATTGATGCTGCAATGGTTGTAAGTGCAAGGACTGGTCATCACTGTTTTCAGCGCAATCATAATTACGGTCATTAAATGAAGGGTCTTAAGTTGAAATCCAATTTCTACCCCTTGTTACTTCATGATGTCTTGCATGATTTTATGATGGTCTCTTGGAGAGTTTTGACAAAATTGTAACTCTTGGGAAGATTCATAGCTAGCCGATATCTTTTGCATTTCAGGACCATGGCTGCAGCTATAGGCCAGTGGAGCCTCAGAGATAGTTTTGTAATGTTATCCAGACTAATAAGCACTGATACAGTCTTCAGTCGCTCTTTTAAGTGAGGCATGCTAGGGATATAGTATCTGTATTGTAGCAACTTCTCTGGGATGAGGGGCCAAAGTGTATGAGATTTACGCTGGGCAATGCTGAGCCACGTCCATCTTAAATATTGAACTGAAGATAGGAGTAACTTTTTTTTTACACTGGCTCATCATTTGTTGAATGGTTATCTATGGAATAACTAAGTAAAATAAGCACTAAATTTTGGTGGGTTTTTATATACTCTTTATATAACAGTAGGTCTGTATGAAAATCTGACAATATTCTTTGCAGATATATAAAACTCAGAAAATCCTGGAAGATGCAAATACTTTTTCACAAAATTGTAAATGGGAGTTCACCTCTGTGCTTCCCATCCTTAGTTTTTGGCTCACCAAACTATTGCCAACCTCAGTGCATCTTTATGACATCTGGTTCACCAGTTTCCTTCAGATGGCAAACAAATGTTTTCACCCTCTCTCCCTTCACAATGACTTCCTCTTGGGAGACGGTGTTCAGATTCTGTATCTAATAGCCTAGAGTCTCACTTCATAGTTATTTAATACCTGACACACAAGGAAAACGGATGTCTCTAGGAAGATTGCAACTGTTCTTATAAGATTATCTTAGTTGCTTTTGAGATGGTTATCTTACCTTTCCATGGAAAGCCATTCAGCTACTCTATGTCCTTTTACAACTTTTATTGTTCCTAAAACACAGAGTTTATCTTCTTTCAGTATACATTATAACAATTTCTGCTTTTCATTTTCCTGCCCAGAAATTTTCCACAGATTTGGTTGAGCTTTAAAGAACCTGTATCTCTGGTTCAGAGGTTCAAACTTCATTCTTGGATTTTGATTATTTTACCTCATTTGAGTTTTAAACTAGTTCAACTTTGTAATAATTGAAATCATGACAACTATTGTTTTAATGTTGCTTACTGTTAAAAGTGTTTCTTCTTTCAATAGCATCAGTGAACCCTTGTACTTTTCACACTGATCTAACGTCATCCAAGTTAGAGACAAACTTCTTACCAGATGCCTGTTTCCTGCCAAAGGCAGTGACTGATTTCCATCTGGTTCAGGTCATAATTCTTCTGACTTCCTTCTCGCAGATGATATGCAGCAGATGCTTCATTGTCTCGATGTTTGTTAACCTTGTGCTGTATGTAAACTGCAGTATTCTCTATTGCCAAGCCCACTTTAACTAAAATCAAGATTCTCCCAGAGTTTCTTTTAACAAGATTTATTGAAAGAAAATATAAAAAGGTACAGAAATCTCAGCAACTGGGTTGCTATTGTTTTAGGATCTTGTTTCCCAGATCATTTAGGTGGGGACTTATTCAATATTTGGCAAGAAAGCTGCTCTCTTAATAAGTGAGGAATGTCCAGGTGGCAAGGATGTAAATTTGTCAGTTTCTGAACTTACTGCTATACATGTATGGAATGCGTAGAAACTACAAAGAATTATAAATTGTTTACTTGTAATTGTAATTGTGGTTTTTCAAGTCCTTCTTGAGTAACCTCATATTTTACTCCTTTCAAGTTGGTTCCAAGTACTTTGCATTACTTGGTGAGGCCATGGGCTGGAGTGGATGAAGTCCCATTACAAAGCTCAGCTTTAAAATCTTCCTAAATGAAGGGCCATGCACAGATCCATTTGAAGAACTGCGGTTACAGAAAAACAGCCACTCATTTTGCCCTTAGAGGCTCATGTGAGGGACCCCAATATTACATATTATAGGATAATAGTCTGCAAATACAATACTTGGGGAAAAGCCAGCATATTGTTTGAACTTATGAAGGGAATCTGAATACAGTGCAATGTATTAAACTACATTGGGTTTACTTTGCAAAAAATTATAACATCTTTTAAACATATTGCTTGAAGAATCAGAAGAAAAATATCTATTCTAAAAGGACAAGAGCCTTCGTTTATATCACTGGTTCTATGCTTTATATTCTAGAAACAGTTTTTAATACAAAAAGATAGATTATTTTTGGTTTTTAAGACATCTGAGACTGAAATACACAGTGTATATCTATTAATGATGTACAATTGTGTCACATGACCAATAAACATTAGCAGCGTGCATATTTTGAGTATTATTTATCACAGCATTATGGTGTAGCTCATTCAGAGTTGCATAGCTAACTCTCAATGATTAGCTATGGGAGAAAAAAAAAACTAAGGAACAGCCAGGCAAGTGAACATAGGAAAGAAAGAGTAGACAAGTGATTTAGTTAGCATACCTAAAACTTGGTTACATTGCAATATTATAGTATCAATTCAGAGACTAAATCTTGGAAAAAGGTGGGTTTGGGTCAAGGAGTTTAAGGAAGAAAGAGAAACAATTGGACAACCCAAACAGAGACATTAACATGGTATCTAAGTAATGCCTTTCTTTTCCGATGCTGGCAAATTAATGGCATAGCAATTTCTTCCTCCCTATAATTGCTGCTTTATCATCCGACTGTTCTGTGAAGTTTTTGTAAGAGTATCCCAGGCTTTGCTTTTATAAGGTTTTATAGATTTAATGCTGTTGGAATAGCAATATAAATTAAGACAGTAAAGTTTTGTTCTTCCTATTAGCATTAACTGTGTTCATCCAAGGTTAAAACAGCACAGAGGAGATATCTGTGGTTGTAATATTATTTTAGTTTTATCCTTTATATTAGACTATTGCTTCTTTTCCAAAAGCAAGAAAACAAGTATTTTCTCATTTGTCTCTTCAGGATTTAGTTCATTTTTAAATTTATTTATTTTATTATTTTATTATTCCTATTTCTATGCCGCCCACTCTCTGAGGACTCTGGGCGGCTTACACCAAAGACAGTATACTAAATAGCATATTGCCCCCAACAATCTGGGTCCTCATTTTACCCACCTGGGAAGGATGGAAGGCTGAGTCAACCTTGAGCCGGTGAGATTTGATCCGCTGATCTGCTGAACTAGCAGTCAGCTGAAGTAGCTGCAGTACTGCACCCTAACCACTGCGCCAAAATGAAGTTATTTTATTAGAGTAACCCACAAGCAATAGGAAATACAGATGGTTATTTTCTGCTCATAAGGATATGAGCCACAGTGGCACAGTGGTTAGAGTGCAGTACTGCAGGCTACTTCTGCTGACTGCTGGCTGCCTGCAATTTGGCAGTTCAAATTTCACCAGGCTCAAGCTTGACTCAGCCTTCCATCCTCCCAAGGTGGGTAAAATGAGGACCCAAATTGTTGGGGGCAATAAGCTGACTCTGTAAACCACTTAGAGAGGGCTGTAAAGCAGTATATAAGTGTTATTGCTATCACTGTAGTCTTCTTGACAATCTAGTTTTTAAGACTTTAGATTGCTTTTATAAATGACTTTCATTTTAGGAATAGATATATGAAGTGTGTTGGAGAAAATTGATCAGTAGCTGCAGATTTATTTATTGTATGGTAAATATCTGCAGTATTTGGGAATCATACAGAGCAGGTTTGGGAAGCAAATCTTGAACTGTAGCAGAAAGGAGGAGAAAGGAAAAATAATGTAAGTGGATTTTTTCACACAATGATGGGTGCAGTTTAGGATTTGTCTGGGCAAGAGAGAAGACTTGTGGGGGGTTAGACTTCAAGAATCAAGAAGGCAGAAACAGCACTGATCGCTCTGCTGCATTTGAGCATGAATGAGGGGAGTGATAAGGAGATGTCCTTGTTCTATAGGACATCTTGGCAGCATTTAATGCTATTGATCAAGGCATCTTTCTGGGCCACCTGAATGCCTGAGAGTACAATGCACCATCTTGCAATGGTTCCATTCCGACTTGTGGGTGCTTCCAGTTGGTTGTCATGGAAGGTGAGTGGGATGGGCAAGCTCTTGGCTGTCCACTGTGGGATGCTACAGGATTCAGTTCACTCCCTTGCGTTATATAACATATATATAAAAAACCGCTGGTAGAAGTCATCTGTTAGTTTGGGATGAGATGTCATCAAAATGACAGTGAAACTTAGTTGCGCATGGAATTCCAGACCCTGTGGACTATTGCAATGCACCATACAAAGGACTGTCTTTGAAGAGGGCTTGGAACTTGCAAATAGCAGAGAATATGGGAACCAGACTGTTGTGGGGGTGAGTGGGTGAGGGTGGAATTGCTATTGTAGAATCCCATTTTTCTGAAAGTTACAGCCCTGGCTATCCATTGAAAATGCTAGTTGGTTAAATTAATTAAATAAGCAAACAAATAAAACAAACAAATAAATATGCTGTAGGTCAGCCTTTAGTGGTACTTTATAGGGATAATAAAAAACATAATAACAAAAGTATCATTTGATTGTCTTAAAGCATTAAGAAGAAACTCGATGGGCTTAATACAACAGATTCTGGGAGTGATTTGGAGAGCTATGGAACAAACTGTGACTCCTTTTATCAGTCCTGAACATTTCTGCTTCACTTCCAATGCCCTGTATCTCTGCTGTACATCACATTGGCTGTTGCTGAGCTCTCTCCTTCTTGATTCCAGGATTGTTTTAATGGATGATGCTGTGGACTGTTTGATGTCTTTTTCAGACTTCCTGTTTGCCTTCCAGATCCAGTTTTACTACTCAGGCAAGTCTATCCCACTTTATTACATTTGTGATTAATGTAATCGGACAGATCAGATAGCATAGTACTGGGAACAACCTTGGTCAGACAGTTTTGCTCTTAATAAAAAACGTGCTGTCCGAAATCTGTTTGTCAAGCTTTGTTCTGTATATCTGAGGATTATTCCACACATAACTTTAATTAATATATTCCCACCGTGCCTTTTAGAGCAAGTATTAATAAGCAGTTGCAATAAAAATACCTTTAAAATACGTGATAACAGCATAGATAAAAATATAATATAAGACCAAAAAGAAAGCAGCGATCTGAGTATGTCTACCCCAAAAGAATTACTTAAGTGAAAACATTATGAGAATGGAATGGTAATTGAAAAGGCTTTGCTGGTATTATCAACCTGAATGCTTTTAGTAGCAAGTCAGAGAACAAGATCTCTAAGACTGTTTACAGACTTTGTAAGTTATGTCAGACTTTATACTGAGATCAGTAATGAAGGACAACCACTGCTCCTGGTATAAAATCATTATGATATAATTAAACAAACTTACTTGGCCTTTCCCATGCGATGTTAATTCCTGTAAATACCAGACCAACTCTACAACCTCTGTGATGGCTGTTGTATGCATGAATTCAGGGATGGTAATTCTACATAGGTAACATAAGGATGGTTTAGATTGGAGCAATGGATGTATAAAAACTGAAGACAAGGTGAAAAGCGTTGATAAACCATTCAAAGCTAATAAAATGTAGCTTTGTCAATAAGGAGTTCTGTCTCCATAAATATCAGAGCTCTTTTAAAATATTTCAGATTCCAGGCCATAGTTGGGAAGTGAGTTTTGTAAACATGCCCTATTCCTAGCATTACTATATGTATTGGTTCCATTAGGCTCCCCAATGCTAGGGTCTTGAGTGTAGATTGGATTCTTATTTGGTTCATCCCTTTTGGGACCTCTCTGGTAAATCTAAGAAAGATTGGAGAATCAAGAGCCTGCTTACCTGGGGAGATGTTGGAAGCAAAGCTGGCAAGTTTTAGCACCAAAAGTTAGAAAACCTTGATGGCATCTCAGGGGTATCCCCAGGCTTGTTCCTGGTAGAGCAAATCCTCCAGAAATGTGTTTACAAGATTTGTTTTCATCAATCAGCATACAGAAATGCTCGAAAGCTGTTGACAGCTACCCAGCACCTTGAGTTACAGTTACATAGACAGTTTCTACACATAAGATAAACTCTATGTGACTTTTGCACATTGTTCAGAAAAGGCTATTGCATATATGAAATTCCAGTATTGAAAATTATGGTCAATAACCAGCATAAGAGGGACAGAGAGAAAGAGACAGGGAGAGAACAGCAAATATCCATGAATGTATAATAAATGACAAAGTACTTAATTTAAAATGGTGTATAAAATTATAATAAAACCTATTGAACTGATCCAGTCTAGCCAACTAAATTTATAAAACCTGTTATCTCTAAAACTCATTTGCTTTATTTGCTACTTTAGAATCCTTGGTTGGGTAATTTGTGAATAAGCAATAAAAAATGAAATGGAAGAAGCAAATAACTTTTGTGATACATAGTATTAGGACAAAACATAAAATTTTGTCTTGCTAAGCCATCTGACAGGTACTTAGCCTTGTGTAGGAAATTCCAAATATTCGGAACAGGCTCAGCTGTTTTATTCTGAGGTACAATTTTGCCTTAGTTGAGAACTAAATGAAAGCAAGGGGCAGTTATTATAAATGTTTTTCATTTGAGAGTAAAATGTAATAATGCTGATTGTGTGTAAATGTTTATTATCGTGTCAGAGAGGGCATTGTACTAAATGGCTTATTTCACTCCTACTCCTAAAACAAGTTTCTCTGTTATTTTTCTCTCGAAACAAAGTTCAATTGTATGGCAATTAATAACCCTTTCCTCAAGTCATCTTTGTCTCTACAATCGTGTCATCTGTATGAGGGAGATTATGCTATTCTGGAGTCCAAACTAACATAAAAAGGAAAATAAAAAGCAATAATATATTATCTGTTTCAAATTCACATTAAAATGTCACCTATCTGTTTCAGTACAGACACTTTTGCAGGTTCCAATCATGCATGCAAAGTGTTGCACACTAATACCTTTGGATACCATTTCGATTGTTATCCAAATTCAACAGTTTTTTCAGGCCACCCACCAATCTGCATGAATGCAAAACACTCAGAGTGGAGTCTATATCTTTGCATATCTAATCAGGATTGTTTAAAAAAACTTGCTTATATGTAGACTCTGGGAGTAAATAACAGGAAAATTGTGAAGCCTAATGGAGAATACTTTCAGCCAGTTTCTTTGGTCATATCTCTTTTGACCACCATACTGTATTTCATTTGAAGTTGCATTGAAACACACTGGGCTGCTCACTAGAGCCTGCGTAACTCACCTCTCCTGAAACCTCCAACAATGCCAAATACCTAAATTGTATGCTTATTTCAATGACTATGGATGTTGTGTGTGTGTGTGTGTGTGTGTGTGTGTGTGTGTGTGTGTGTGTATTCTGATTGGGTAGCCTTGTCTTTTATGCTTCTTCACACAATGAAAAGTCTACATAATTGAAACCCAAAAGACCCTTTGAGATCGCTTTGTTAACCTTTGTGTGATTTTCATGTCATATAGTAACTAAATTAGCAAGTAAGTTGCATATTTATATTGGTCACTGCATATTCATATCAGCGCTGGAAACAGTAAAACATTCTCAAAGTACAATACATAACTAGAATAGAAATAAAATAGACTACACACGTAATGTAGTCTTTTATATACAGCACATACTCTTATAATACGTTCATAAGTGATTTTTACAACCTGTCTTTGTTTTTGAATAGAGTTTATTGAAAATGTGGCTGCCATCTATCAAGAGCTCTTGACAGGTAAAAATCCAAACACTGTAATTGTGCCTACGTCGTCTTCTGGGCAGCATCGTTCGCGTCAAGCTCTCAATGAGTGCAGTCCAGTCGATGGAGTGGAGGCATCTGCATTTTACCAGTGCCTTGAATCATTATGTGACAAATCTAAATACAGGTAAGGCCAGCTGGGTTAGGACAAGTTGTATCTATTTCATTGGCTTCAGGGTAAGGAAGGATCTTACTGACATTTTGGTACAAACAATCCATATCAAAAATGTCTTGTAAATGTGACCTTTTATCTTCAGTCTTGTGCTGTTCCTCTACTTCCTGAAACAAGCATGTGTCAGGTAGTGATACAGATTAAGTTTTGACTTTTGTATGTATTACGCAACAGATTTTCAACTGTCAACAGTTCTGCCCCATTTTATATCATTTTGACTTTCAGATTTTTGGAGGTCTGTCAGATTCATTGATTTAATTCATTGGTTTCTCATGGAAAGGGAACTATTTCATTTTAATAACCAGTATACTTCATTTACAATGAAAAACTATATTGACTGAAAGAAAGAAATGGATTAGAGTGAAGAGAGTTCAAATGCAGCTGACATAGACAAGAAAATAATATAATTTTTGATGAAGATAAAAGAACAAGATTTCATGGGACATTGTTCTTCATCACATTAAACTGTGCTCTGATGACAACCTAAAATTGTCACCTATAGAACAAAGCATTTTAAAAGGGTAGCTTAAAACTCTCCTTGTAAAGGGTCAGACTTTTTCTTTGTATTTGGAATCTCTGTCACAGCAAACAACTAAACAGCTTGCTTGTTTAGTTTGATTCAAGGCTCTTCCAAACATTCAGCGTCAAATGGGACAAAACTTTGCAATAATTATTTTGTCATACATGTGCACATGCCAAAAACATACAGAAAGAAAGGCAATACATGCACACACGAAAGTCATAGAGAAAAGAGAACACACAAAAGAGGACTTCTGGTTTGGCGTCACGGCGAGACAGTTGGGGAAATAGTGGGCTCTGATGAGCACCGCAAAAACCCTGGCTGCCAAACCACTGCTGATGGATCTTCGGACTGGAACCGTCCTGCAGGGATGGGGAAGAAAGAGAGGCGCTTCGGATGACCAAGAGCAACAGGCAAGTTCCTCAGTGGTCAGAGGGAACTCTTTGTGAGTTGCCAGCAGGGGGCGGCAGCCATGGCGACTGTCACGAAGCTGGGACAACCGGACTAAGTGTAGAGCTGGAGGAAGACAGGAACGGAAAGGAGTTTTTTTTGAAGCTGGGTGAGTGACAGCCAACTCAGGCTTGAATAACAAGAGAAACATCTTACAACTATAAGACCCTTAATGTGTAATAGCGGCTAAGGAGCATGGGGGCAAAGAAGATTTTGAAATGTAATTTGGAAGAGACAAAAACCCAATTGAAAACTGATTTCTGAATAAACTAATTGGAAACTTTAAACAATTAGATATGGTCAAAGGATTGGAAAGAAATAAAGAGATCTTTTTTTCCCCTTTCTTTTTTAAATTGCAAGAAAAATTAAAAGAATGGATAATAAGCTTTAAGAAAAAAAGATGTATAACTAAAAGGGAAAAAAGAAAAAAAGAAGTGAGAAGAACTATTTAAATTTGGACTGGACTTTAAATATGATTTGATATTTTTAAATTGAAAAAGAAAGAGAAGTGATGTAATGGAAACAAAATGGATACTTGTCAAGCAATCGGAAACTATGGATTGCAGAGAGACACTATCTGGAGTAAAGAGGAACATTGTAACTTGATTCTTTGTTTTGGAAAATTGTGAACTTCACAGATAATAACCGTGAGAACTTCTGGAGGAGGATTTTCTTGTCTACAAGAGGCTTGACTTTTGGAGGAATAAAAAAAGAAATAAAAGGGAATACAATAGAATTTTTATGATTGGAGCAATTATTTGACCTGGAGAATGGAAATAAAAGAAATAACTATAATGTTGCACGGAGGATAAAGTTTGAGGATGTAAAAATCGAAAGGAAGTATACATGTGTGGACAAGAAAATGAAGATGGAGAAATAAGACATAGAAGTGGAAAATAAAGAAGATAAAGATATTGTGATTAAATATGAACAAATAATAATAATAATAATATAGAATAATTACTATTATTTGGGAATAGTAATAATAAAAAGGAGGTCTCTAGAGATTATATTGAGATTAACAATAACATAATGATGATTATATTGAGATTAATAATAATATGATGATGATTATATGGAGATTAATACTGAATGATAAAAAAATAAAAGGTTGGAAAATATTAAGAAATTTAAAGAAGTCCAGGACCTGGATTTATAAAATGACTATATTGAGATTAACAAATATGAAAAGAATTATTTTACAGATATTTAGAAATGAAATAGGGATTGAAGTTAAAATATATGGAAAATAGACTACATTAAAAGAAATATAGCAATGGATATAATGAACCAATTTATGATTAAGATGCTAAAAGATACTACTTGAGGAAATTGATGGTTACAATAACTGGGATATTGTTTAAATACCTATAACAATTGTTATAATTTGAATATTTGTAATAATATATCTACGAAAGTAAAAGATGATTACACTGGGATTAACAATGAGAAAAATAAAGATGATTACACTGGGATTAACAGTGAGAAAAATAAAGATGATTACGCTGGGATTAACAGTGGAATAAAGATGTATTTTGTACACTGGGATTAACAGTGGAAGGATAAAAGAAAAGGTTAAATTAGAAAATTGATAGCTATAATAATTGGGATATTGTTTAAATATGTATAACAATTGTGATAATTTGAACATTTATTACCTGGTTTGATAGAATTTAGGATAATTGGGAAATTGCATTAAAGAGGATTATTTGAACTAAGAACTATGTTTAAATGTTAAATTGCTATATTTTTAAAATTAAAGATAAGATTTAAATTTGATAAAGTAATAATGGAATGAAGATTTAATGAACATAATGAAATATAAATATGTTTGAACTGTATTGTCAATAGTGAGGATTTAGGGTAAGAATTGTTGTATTATGAGTTATTAATTGAATTAAGAATTAAGGTGGGTTAATAGAAGGGTAATTGTTTTGATTAAGTAAATATGTGTTAATTTTTTTAAGATGGTATTAGTTGAATATGTGATCTAAGATTAAGAAATAAGTGCCATGGCAAAATAGAATAGATAGAATTTTGTTAAAGATTTTGTTAAAAATTGAACAAAGTGATGACCGGATCAAAGCTCTGTTCCGAAAGGATGTAATTTGTATGTTTGGAAAAAAAATTAAAAAAAACTTTTTGCAAAAAAAAAAAGAGAGAACACAGAAACATACATTTATAAAGAATACACAATACAGTAAGAAAAAGGTCACATTTTCTCCTACATGCAGGGCAATCCAGTAACGATTTGCTACATTTGGAAGTGATGCTCTTTTCACATTTGCAAATGAATAGAGCATACTTTCCACTAAATTGCCACCATTTTCCATGCCTTTCTACTTAGGGAAAAATGGGAAAAGCATAGGATGATTTCTGAAAGTTTGTGTAACGCATAGATTCACCCACTGGGGAAAACTTCTATGGAATGACCTATCAGGAAAATACAAAGCAATCTGTAATGGTAAAGAGGGAGGCTCTTTGAATCCCCATAGAATGAGTTGGGCCACCATACCAGAGTTTCCCAAATCCTGCTTTAATTGCTGCCTGGCCAACTAGATGTCCTTCAACACGAAGAAGAAAGGTGGTGTTTAAAGTAATTGGGAAATGCTTTTCACTGGGACCTTCTCTTCCCACGATCCTCTCAGGTTAAAAGGAATCATGAGTGTCCATGGAACTACTAGCCCATTCTCTCCCTTGTTGCAGAAAGAGACATTTCTCAAATTGTAGGAAGATGGGTTCATGATCTAGATGATTCAGTTCATTCAGTTTGATCAGTCTTAAGTCTAAACGAAGGTAATTCACAGACATTGATATGTCAAGTGTTTTTCTTGTGTACCTTTTGTTTCCCCAGCTGCCCCCCAGCCACTGTTCTCAAGGAAATTCTGAGCAATGTACAGAGAGTAACTTTCTATGGATTTCTGATGGCTCTTGCAAAGCATCACGGGATCAACAAAGCTCTTGGTAATGAAAAGTCCTTTATTTTCCATGAATACTATTTTAAGAATTTGGTGTCCTAGATTCCTTTGTCAAGCTTACAGAGTCCACAAGGCTAGTAAGTCTGCCAGAAAAGTTTGTATTAAAAGTAAAACAATTCCATGAGATTTAAACAAGGCAAATCACATAACAAAACAAAAATGTGCCTTAATTCCCATCTATCTCCATTAGATTTTAGGTGATGTAACCCTCCAGCAGAGAGGAAAGAGATGGGCAACTACCATTCTGTTCTGTGCCCCAGATCCTGATTTCCTCCTGTTCAGAATCCAGAGTAATATCTTTACAAGAGGATATATATATACTGCTCAAAAAATAAAGGGAACACAAGTAGAAGACATCCGAGATCTGAATGAATGAAATAGCCTTATTAAATACTTTGTTCTTTACATACAGTAGTTTATACACTGCTCAAACAACTAAAGGGAACACAAAACTACTGTATGTAATGAACAAAGTATTTAATAAGGCTATTTCATTCATTCAGATCTCGGATGTCTTCTGCTTGTGTTCTCTTTATTTTTTGAGCAGTGTATGTATTCTCTTTATTTTTTTGAGCAGTGTGTGTGTGTGTGTATACACACACACACACACACACCCCAGAATAATCAGAGAAGCCATCAAGATAGAAAAACACCCACACAGCATGAATAAACGAGATGATACCTCCCGCCTACCAGCCATTTATTGACAAACGAGTTCCTAACACTAAGAATGACACCAGACTCACACTCACGAAAACCACACAGGATGTCGTCACCACACATCCATGCAAAAAACAAACCCAAATCCACACCGATGAGGCACGACCACAAACCATAAGCCAGACCACAGCTGCATCATTAGCCACTTTAAACCCCTCCAATCCATACATGAAGCAAACTGACACCCACCATGAAGATGTGGCACAACCACGAACGCGAAGCCAAACAACAGCAACGCAGCTCACCAGCTCAAATCCCCCTGCAACTCAGACTAACCCGAGTACAACCAAGCCCCTACCTAAACAGAACACACCCCATCCAATCAGAACACAGCCAACCCCCCATCCAATCAGAGCACAGCCAAGCCCCCAGTCAATCAGAACACACCTCCACCCAATCAGAACACAGCCAAGCTCCCACCCAATCAGTTCACACCCCCACTGGCAGTTAAAAGGAAGAAACAGCTGCGATCACACATTGCTCCTAGAAGCACGAAGCCGAAAACACCAGCCTGAAGATGACGAATGAGACTTCGTCGAAATGTCGCCAAGACACTTCCAATTCTACGTGGGAGAAAACCCGAAGAACCAAAGACCTACATACAAACACCCGCGAAAACCTCAGAAAACATATATATATATATACATACATACATACATACATACATACATACATACATACATACATATATAGTATTTCCTTATTTTTCTTATTTCATCATTTTCTTCTGAAGAAGCCAAGACTTTGTTTCAGTAGAAATATCATGATTTCAAGACAGAAGCAATGCACATACGCTCTTTCAGAATTGTTATTTGTCCTGCAACCTTAAAATCAGGCTTTGAAAAAGTGGGTGTCTTTTTCCATAGCAGAATCTGTCTGTGTTGGAGACCAGCACTGGGCCTTTTTGATGCATTTCTGGGGTTCTGAATATAACCGCATGCCCTGCTAGCAGCCATCCAAGCTGCTCTTAATACCTCTGCATTTTCTGTGCTCAAGGATACGTCTTAGCTCAACTCCTCTCCCTTCCCAGCATCGCAGCCCCTGCCAACAACTGGAGCTGCTGTTTACCCAAAACGTAGAGATTATATATCAAAAGGAACATGCATACAAGCCCTCAATCCCTTCAGCAAACAAGCTTAGCTAGTAATGCATTCCCAAGCAAAGATGATGCCTAGATTGCACCGGTTCGGGCTTTTCTTTCTGCCTGTACAAAATCCACTTCCCGTAAGGTGCAAAGCAAACAGATGGGCTGAGAAAGCCCTGCCTACTGCCGCCATTGTGTATGGGTTTTTCCTTCCATTAAGAAAGGCCTGTCCTGGCTTCAAGCCAGGCTCTTACTGAGGCCTCTCGCGGGGCAGCCGTAAGTGTAACAGGTGCAGGCATCTTGGCAAGGAAAGCAGGATTTTTCTCCTGCTGCCTTTTCATCTTCCCTGCACACGGGATAATTTGAATAGGCTTTGGTCTGCAAGGGATCACAGGCTCCTTAAAGCCCTGCAGCAAGGGCAGTTCCAGGCGAGAGCTTCAGATGAGGAAGGAAAGCGCTTTCAGGCAGGGGCCCACCGTGCCTCCAATCTCACCAGGATCTTGAAAGGGAAGAGAAGGAGAGATTAGAAGCCAGCTGATGAATTTGTCAAGCAGACTGCAAGCCCAGCCTCACTCCTCTGTCAATATTGATTCACCAATCCACTGCACATTGTTTACCAATTCTCCCAAGAGACTGGAGCACTCTTGAAATCTTTAGACACAAGAACAAGCTTCACATTCAGGAAATGGAGGCTGCAGAAGGCTGGCAGCAGCCGTTTGCTCATTTGGCCTTTGGTATTATAGTGCCAGGGATATACTGTAAAAGAGTCTTCCTTTTTTGGGATATTAGGCAGGACAGAAGAAACAGAAAGCTTAGATTGCTCCTTCCCTCCTCACGCGCAGCTTGCTTTCTGAAGGAACATTTTCCTCATTACAAGGTTTCATCCCTGTTTCTCCCATAAATGACTGCTTCAAGGTGACGAGTTACGTAAAAGATCTCTGCGAAGATCTGCTGCCCTTGGAGCTTAGTAGCATTCCACATGCCATTAGGCCTTCTTTCCCCCTTTTTTGCACTCCAGTTAGTAGACCAACATGGTTATGTAGAGATGCTTTAGAGGCTTGGATAGACAAGCATTGCAACCCACAAGCTCTGCAACATCATCAGGAAATATGAAGGGTCAACCATGATGAAAGGATAGAATTGCAGAATTGTTCATGACGACTCGAGCGGTAGGGAGGAATTTGATAGTGCAGTATATGGCATGTGAAACTTTGCTAGGCAGAACTGTTGCAAAATGGGATAATGAAGGCCATGTCATAGTATACTTAGGGCATAAAATGTGAATGTTGTACAGGGCTCCAAATCAAAGGAATAGAAAGGGATAAATCAATCCTATTCTTACTTAAAGGACAAAGCCTTTATAATATGTTTATATTATGTGCATAACTTTATAATAAGTTATGCTGTCATGGACTGTCTTTTGCTTGGTACATTCCGGATGCACTGAGGGTCTGGATGGAAGGTTTAGGTTTAATCCTAGCAAGACTAACTGGCAATGGATTTGGAGGGCCACAAAGATTAAATATTTCCAGTCTTTACTACTGGGTGGGGTTGCCCTGCCCTAGACAAAAATGGTATGCAACTTGGGGATCCATCTGGATTCATGTCTACCTGTTCAAGACTCTTTGCACAAATCTCTCTTGTGAACCATTGTATTTGTTCCTGGATTGTGAGGCTCTTTTTAAAATCATTTTTTTTATTGGTCGCCTCATATCTGGCTTACAACAATATAGTCTACAGTTTTGTAAAAATGAAATATGCCTCATCAAAGTTTTTAATCTTTTTCAACATATTTTAGTATATTGATATTTGATCATTATTTCAACTATATTGATGTATAAAGGAGATATAGTAACAGAATAACAGAGTAAGCAATTCATACTGGAGTCTCCCTTTCCTCATCTAGGAAAAAGGTCTGTTAAGGAAATTGGCAACCTGAATCTGTTAGATTCAGATCATGTGAATAGAATAGAATAGAATAGAATAGAATAGAATAGAATAGAATAGAATAGAATAGAATAGAATAGAATAGAAGAGTTGGAAGGGACCTTGGAGGTCTTCTAGTCCAACCCCCTGCTTAGGCAGGAAACCCCACACCACTTCAGACAAATGGTTATCCAACATCTTCTTAAAAACGTCCAGTGTTGATGCTTCATGAACTGAATCCAACCAGTGCCTATGCGAAGAATGAAAACCAAAACAAGCTCTGTTCATGAGCTCATCATGTAGCTGACAAGGCGCAAAAGGAATGAGGAAGGAAGAGGAACCAAGTAAATTTAGGCATCCAGTGGTAGCATTAGATTTCTAAGCAGTATCATGTGTTCAGGACAGATGGGCCTCTCTGCCAGTAAATGTACTCGTATGAACAATCCTGCTGCAGCTATAAGCTGCTGATGAATGACAAGGACCTCAGAGTTAGCATTTTGAGATCCTTCTCCCCCCCAAAAAAACATTCTTAAAAAGGCACTTAAAACATGATTGTGCTCCATTTTCTCTGCTCATACTAGAAAGCAAACTCTGCTTCCTTGTCAGGCAAAACCCTTTTGATGTTTTTTGTCTGTTCCGTAGTGGTCTGACCTCTAAAGAGAGGAATGGGGCTTTTAATCCACAGTGTAGTTATGTAACCGTATGTGGATTTAATATTTTAGTGACTGTTTTAAATATTGATGTAGATTATTTTACTTACTAAGGTAAAGCAGCTTCCCATATTTGGAAGTCAATGAGGTCCTGATTATTCAGCTAACTGGGGCTCTGACCGTTCCCCTTGTAAACCAAATAACCTTCCTTATTAGTGCAAAAAGTCTGAAATTTCATGTATATTACTACTAAGACAATTGTAGGAGCTACAGTGCTGATTGTTAAAGTGAAAGACTTACAAGTAAGTAGGGCATTCTTGTAGAAATGGGGCGCTATTGTAGATATAGCTAAAAATAAAATTAATTCTTAGGTTGTTCATTCTTTTGTTTTATGGAAGTACAGTACAACATGCGATGACATGATTGTTTGAAGGACATCGGCTTCAACAGCCCATCCTCACACTGAGCTAACAGGATGCTGTGCTGCTACAAAAATGTTTCCTGTAGGAGTAGGACAAGATACTCCAAATGCAGCAGTTGTAAAAAGAGTGATCAGGCAGTTGGCAGGATGAGTATCTGCAAATTCAATTGCTTTTTGAAGAAGGCTAACAAACCTAAGCCATACAGAGAGCAGTTTCCATGAATTTCACCATGGAATTGTTGAACAGATGTTCCTCTTCCTAGATTTCCATTTTCATGGGTGGATTCACTTCAGGTTCCATAGTATTATGGTATATAGATACTTTTTCTTGCTTTAGAATTTAAATTGAGCTTTCTCTTTGCTACTCATTTTCAGGAGCTCTTCCTGAGAAAGCAGAGTTGCTACTTGACCCGCTTATGGATCAGGAATTAGAGAAACTGTAAGTATTTTTAAAATGGAGAACAACTAAGTGGCTAGGGCACCATTATTTTTCCTTTTAGGTGTCACATGAGAGTTCTTGCAGTTAACGTAACAGCAATGGTAATTTTTCCTTTCACTCTAAAACATGGCAGGTAGAGTTGAAGTTAATTCAAGAAGCAAAGGAAAGTTCTTCTGTTATTTGTATATCCCTTTAATTATTAAGACATCAGCCGGTTTCATTTATAAAACCAGGTAACATCTTCCATATCATTTTTATAACCTGTCATTTCAAATCAGTCTCATTCTGTGTCTTGCCCAGTAAAACAGTTCATAACTGTTTTTAAACCCATTTTTGATAACAATCTTGAGAGTAACTTGAGCGCATTGTTCCCAAATACCCTTGAATTGTTCCAAAATTAAAACTATTTTGCTCCATTCTGTATTAGTGAGTTTCTTCTCCTATAATTTAGTTCTTCCGTTTGCTTTAGTGTTCAACTTTCAAAATCTTCTCATGTTTTTTCTAGTTAACAGCATTTTCCCAGGAAAGTTACATATCCTTAATTTCAATTTTTTCACATATTTTTTATAGAATTCTAAACAACCCACAGGATGCATTCTTCTAATTAATTTCTGCCCCTTTAGACCATTTACAACTTTCCAAAATCAATATTCTAATCATTCTTCGGCTGTTTATTCTAAAACATTTTTAATTTCTTAAATTTGCATAAACTACTTTTGCTGAGGATTGAGACTCACCCGGTGTAATGAAACTTGCTGTTCTGATGGTTTTTATTATTAATTTATACTGAATTGGATAACTTTCTTATAACAACTTATACATTGGATAACTTTGTTATAACTTTCTCATAACTTTTGCATTGAATAACTTATTTTGCATCTACAAGAAATGCATTAAAGTTTTGAAGGAGTTTTTGAGGAGACAAAAAGAAAAAAAATCAAATACTGAAACATTATTTGAAGAGATGAAAGATCAGTATTGTTAAAAGCAAAGGGAGGGAATATAAAGTTGGTTTACTTGAACAAGATTAAAATAAGGTATCTTTTTTCTGGTAATTCTTAATGGATTTTTGTTGACCAAGACTGAAGGACGAGGCTTTAAAATCTGTTTATATGCAAGAGATGTGGTATCTCTTAGCTGTATTTTCAAAAAAAAAGTCATAAGTTACTGTATTAAAAGCAAAGTAAAGGAATATAAAGATGGCTTTTTAAAGGTTAAAATATATTATTTCTCATAAATTTTAATGGGCTTTTTTTATTAGGACTGAATAATAATGCTTTAAAATTTTGTTTATAGCTATATGGGGAAAAAAAGATGTTACAGTATCAGAGAAGGTGATGTTACTAAAATTATACTTATGATAAAGGGGGAAGTCATTTCTTTATATTTTTTCTTTAATATATATTTTTTCTTTTTTCTCTGCACTTTATTTTTTTCTAATTTATTTTAACTTGTATTAGTTTTTTAATCTATGTATCTGAAATTTTTTAATAAATATCATTTAAAAAGGAAGTATTTTGCAGTCGATAGGAATATCAAGAAAGGAGCAAGCCTGCTTTTCCAAATGTTGGTTCATGCAAAAGAAAATTTCAAACAGCTCAACATTTCTATAGGAATTCTATGGGAGCAATTTTCTGAGCTTCTAAGCAAAGGAGCTCAATCTCTAATTGTAAAGGTGACTAAAGACTGCATTCTTCTTTTCTGAACTCTTTAGCAAATTGTTGATCAATAGATACTTTTACATATTCCCCAGTATGCTTTCACAAACTTTTATAATGACAAACGTAAACCAAAGTAACAACAGGGTTTTCTTCTTCTTCTTTCAGGATTGCATCTATTTCAGGCCTTTCAGTATCCAATTCTAGTGCAAGTGGGGATGCAACAAACATGCCTTCTCGTGCTTCACCACGCATCTGTTCCCTTTGGAGGCCGCTCCACCACCATCGGAAAATGGATACTGAAAGTGATGGCTCCACAGAAGAGACAGATTCTTCAGAGAACTGATTAAAGGAATATGCAATGGTTACCAGGTCCTTATAACCAAAGTGTTGGATGTAGAGAAAAGGGAGATGGAGACTGATTGCAGTTGTAGTATCATACTGCTCTCTTGTGGCAAACATGTCAAATTGATTGAAATACGAGAGCATTTGTTTCAGTGTTAAGAAATTTAATTCTCAGTGTGGAGTTTGCACCACTATCCTTTGATCTCTGTTGTACACACAAGACTTTACCTTCTCCCTACATATACACCCTTTATTATATTGCTCGGTATTAATGTATTTTATGAAAGTCCAGATCAGAAAGGAAAACGCATGGCTCGGAGGAATGGGTATTTTTTTCACTGTGGGTTCAGGATGAGACCTGTGAAGTATGTATAGAAAATAAAGAATGTTGCACTAGGAGCTCCATTAACTGAGATTTCTTGCATCGTAAGTTATATTGCAAAAAATAGCAACTGTATCATTTGATATTCAGATGTCTTTTGAAAGGATGTAAAAAATAGTACTAAAGAATTACGACAAAAGATTTTTCTTTCACTCCTGGGGAAGTGTAGTATGAATGTTATACAGCTGAAACTACAAGGCAATATTCCTTGCAGTCAAAAAATAGTCGTCATAATATTACAAAATACATCCAGAGGTTGTTTTTTTAAAAAAAAAAACACTAACATACATGACTTCAGCTTTACTTTCACACTAATTTGCTCATCCTTCTTTAAATCTAATTTTCGTTCTTAGAGTTTAGTGTAGAAAATACGATGGAGGAGGTAATTTCTAACAATGCATTTTGTATTATTATTTGAGGCCCAGGAAAATAAGAACCACAAGGAATTGAGAACATAGGAATCCAATCTGATTTATTGGTGAGGAGGAAGACTCCATATCCTTCACTCTTAAAACCCCATAAAGCAATGCCATAACTTTGGCTGCATATCACTTATGAATATTATGATGAATTTCAAGTACAGAGATAACCCAAGCAAGGGAAACCTCTTCCAATCTCTGAGTGAAAAAGCAGTGGCCTGATATGAAGCTCTGCAAACTCTTTGCTCCGGAACTGAGCAAGCAATTTTAAATCTGCAACACTTGAAACTGGAGAGGCTATTTTCAGAATCCTATGAATACAAAGGAGAAGCAAGCAAAGGGGGAAATTTCTGGTCAGTCCATGCAGGCATTTATTTTCATAGGAAGTGCACAAGGAATAAGCAGATTAATTGCACTAATGAGTTACACTAATGTGAAAGTGGGTAACCTCAAAGGGCATTGGTAACCTCAGCTGCCTCTAGCAAGTGTACCTCACTGAAACTCAAGACATCACTTCAGTGTATTCTTGGCGATTACTCTTCCTATTAAACAACTGGCTTGTCTTCTTAGGAGACACACTGTATTTGGTGGCAGTTTCCAGATAAACCCACAGTGCAGCAGCAACAATCATGCAATTTGAATGCAAAATGGTTACAACAGTCAGCACCATTTCACAAGGAAATAATTCTCCCACTCAGCTGAAATGAGAATACTCCGGTGGAAAAATATCACTGAAACATGGGATTTAGCATGCAGATGCAATGGGTGCTTTGGAGCAAAATACCGTTTATTATCTCAGGCATGAGATTAGCAATGTAGACTGGAATGGAGCATTTATCTATTCCAGTTCCTCTTTGATCAATAAAGCTATAGCAATTTATGAGAACAATCCCAGAAAGCATAGGGACAACAGTGGTGCCTGGATAGGTGGAAGAAGCCTTACTGAAACTGATTTTGTTTCAATATAATTTGCAAGAGAGCTATGGTGTTCACTCAAGTCCATTGTTGTGATTCCGAAGGAAGGCAGTAGTAGCAATGGTTGTGCAACAAAAATGGGACACAGTGAATGGAGTGAATATAGTCAATACTCATTTCAGCTCCAATTTCTTTTAACATATGAAATAAAAGACAGCACCCAATGGACAACCAACTGATTATAGGAAAGGTTTGATAACCCTTCCTTGCTTATCACTGATGATCTCCTATCTCCAGCACAAATTTATCATCAGTCATATTTGCAAAATAAAAGAATCTTAACTAAGGCCAAGAGTGCTGACCTTTCACTGCATGCTGTACGTTTGTGCTTTTAAGCCACTATTCTAAAATGGTGCATCACACTGGTTCTTTAAGGCAGTAAGATTACCATGGACAGAGGAAAGAATTTCACTCTATTCTGGAGCATAGGTTCTAGAGTCTCCACCAATGCAACAAGTACTATAATTTGCCTCTGAATTCATGCAGAAGCATGAAAAATATTACACACTACTTTCCTGCTTCCACAATACTAAGTCCACCAATAGCAGTCAGGGAGACAAAGAGAAATATAAAGAGCAGCACCACAATGACATCTGCACCATATCTCAATCCATAGCAGCAGAGGGGTGTTCTCTGGAAAGGCCCATACTTCAATCACTGAAGGCTGGGTTTTGACAAAATATTTGTTTTCTAATACAAAACAATTGTCCAGAAAACCTTCGAGTATAGGACAAGCATGTCCATTTTCTCTATTCTCAAGCATCCCTCAGCTATGCTCAGTTTAGAAATTATCCTGTAGAGTTCCTATGTGGTGTTTCCAAGTTCAAGTGGTGTTACACCGATGGCCAAGAGGTACAGTCTTCTAGATCTTCAATATGAACCATAGCGGTCCTAAGGGTAGTAGGGAAAAGAGAGAAGGGGGGGGGAATCAATTAACAAACTGTCCAGAAACAAGCTTGAAGATTTTGAGGCATTTAGCTGTAAAAACTAGTCCAAAGCTGATAAACAAAACCTATTGCTTATGAGCCAATCACACCAAAAACAAAGGTGATCCTATTAAGATCTAAACAGTGAGGTGGTCCACAAAAAAATATTTATTGGAGAACTCTATGCTATCCTCCCAGAATGTCAGAAAAAAATCAGCATGGGAATTTATTTTAGCTTCATTATTGGACAATTCTTTGAGCGTGCATGTTTACATAATTAACACAAATAAAACAGATGAAGTGCAGGTTTCAACTCAAGCCTTGTACACCAAGCCTGAATTAAGCCTGAACCAGAATGGAATCTGGGTCACTATTCAAGAAAGTCCAATGTGGTTCTTTTTTCTTCTCTTACCACATTATTAAGTACATGAGAAATATGAACTTTATTATTCAAGAAAATATATCCACCAAACTTGCAAGTTGAGTCTAATCAAAACTCCAGAACAACTTATCACTAACAAAATGGTTTTTTGGGAGAAGATTCTTCAGTTTAGTTTCTCCGCTATTTTTATCCTTGAATTTCCTACCATTTTATATCTCACCATCAACTTCAGCTACTCGGTCAACAATACAAAAGATGTTAAGCGCTCTTGTTGGGTCTTGTCTTGATGTCTGTACTATGTTTGGATTAGGGTTAAAATTTGAAAGTTCAAATTGATCGTGAAAAATACAATTATTTCTTAAAGTGGACTAATCAACTAGTTGCCTTGGAGGTACTTAAATTAGTGCTTTTATACCCCATTTGTCAGAATTAAATAATGTGATGTCCATGAGCATCAAGATGTGCACTAGGCTCTAGGACCCCAATTTTAAAACTGTCTTTCAGATTCTTCTGTTTAAAAATTATATAGGAAAAAGGCATGTTGAAATGCAAATGGCCAGCCTGTAGCATTACCGCTATTTTTAGTATTGTTTTGGATCCTACACCGATGGTGAATGATGGCAACTCAAGGTCTTGTTTAGAAGCATTCTCAACTGCCCAGAAAAAAAAAAAAAATCCAGACGAGAGAAAGAACTCTAAGGAGGCAGAGGGGACGGCAGGAGTAATTTCATCCATTGTTTCATAACTGACTGTATCCCCAATGGCACCCACAACATGCTCTCAAGATATTAACGAAGGTTAATATTATTGCTCCTCTGTCCTGGTCCTACTAGACCTCTCAGCGGCTTTTGATACCATCGATCATGATATCATGCTGCACCGGTTGGAAGGGTTGGGGGTGGGGGGCACTGTTCTACAGTGGTTCTCCTCCTTTCTCTCTGACCGGTCGCAGTCTGTGTTGACAGGGGGGCAGAGGTCGACCCCGAGGCCCCTTATATGTGGGATGCCACAAGGATCGGTCCTCTCGCCCCTTCTATTCAACATTTATGTGAAGCCGCTGGGTGAGATCATCCGTGGTTTTGGGGTGAAGTACCATCAGTACGCTGATGACACCCAGCTGTACATCTCCACCCCAGACCACCCCAATGATGCCCTCGAGGTGATGTCCCGGTGCCTGGAGGCCGTACAGATCTGGATGGGGAGGAACAAACTCAGACTCAACCCATCCAAGACCGAGTGGCTGTGGTTTCCGTCGTCCCGATAGTCAGTTGGCGCCATCTCTGACTATTGGGGGCGAGTCGTTGGCCCCCACAGATGGGGTTCGCAACTTGGGCATCCTCCTGGACTCACGGCTGTCTTTTGAAGAGCATATGACGGCCGTAGCCAGGAGGACTTTTTATCAGGTTTGCCTGATTCGCCAGTTGCATCCCTTTCTGGATTGGGACTCGTTACGCACGGTCACTCACGCCCTTGTCACCTCATGCCTGGATTATTGTAATGCTCTCTACATGGGGCTCCCCTTGAGAAGCACCCGAAGGCTCCAACTGGTCCAGAATGCAGCCGCGCGGGTGGTGATGGGAGCAATGTGGCGCTCTCATGTAACCCCCCTCCTGCGCGAGCTGCACTGGCTCCCAGTGGTCTTCCGGGTGCGCTTCAAGGTTTTGGTTACTATCTTTAGAGCGCTCCATGGCTCAGGACCAGGGTACTTACGAGACCGCCTCCTGCCACCAATAGCCTCTCACCGACCAGTTCGCTCCCATAGAGAGGGACTCCTCAGGGTGCCGTCGGCCAAACAATGTCGACTGACGGCCCCCAGGGGGAGAGCCTTTTCTGTGGGGGCACCTACCATCTGGAACGGGCTTCCCCCGGAGTTATGAAACATCCAAGACTTACGCATATTCCGCCGTGCCCTGAAAACATTTCTATTCCAACAAGCTGGTCTGGCCTAACTCTCCCTTTTTAATTGGCTTTTAAATTGGGTTTTAAACCTCTTTAGATAAATTTGGATGTTTTTAATCTTTGAGCCTAAATTACTTAATCTGTTTCTTAATAGTTTTTAACTTCTATATGTATTTGTATTTATTATGGCTGTTCACCGCCCTGAGTCCTTCGGGAGTAGGGTGGTATACAAATATGAAAAATAAATAAATAAATAAATAAAATAAATATTAAAGAACTATCCAGTATAACTATCATATGCATTTCTTTAGATATTACATATGTTGTGAGAATAGAATAGAATAGAATAGAATAACAGAGTTGGAAGGGACCTTGGAGGTCTTCTAGTCCAAGCTCCTGCCCAGGCAGGAAACCCTACACCACTTCAGACAAATGGTTATCCAACATCTTTAAAATTTCCAGTGGTGGGGCATTCACAACTTCTGCAGGCAAGTTGTTCCACTGATTAATTGTTCTAACTGTCAGGAAATTCCTCCTTAGTTCTAAGTTGCTTCTCTCCTTGATTAGTTTCCACCCATTGCTTCTTGTTCTACCCTCAGGTGCTTTGGAGAATAGTTTGACTCCCTCTTCTTTGTGGCAACCCCTGAGATATTGGAACACTGCTATCATGTCTCCCCTAGTCCTTCTTTTCATTAAACTAGACATACCCAGTTCCTGCAACTGTTCTTCATATGTTTTAGCCTCCAGTCCCCTAATCATCTTTGTTGCTCTTCTCTGCACTCTTTTTATATCGTGGCGACCAAAACTGAATGCAATATTCCAAGTGTAGCCTTACCAAAGCATTATAAAGTGGTATTAACACTTCACGTAATCTTGTTCATGTAAGCACATTTAATCACCTATATAAACACTTGTAAAATTTAATAGTAAACAGATGATTGGGAAGCCTGTGTGGTGCAGTGGTTAGACACTGGACTAGTACTGAGGAGACTCAAATTCTAATTCATCCACCACCACAGCAACTCATTTGGTGATTATGAGCCAATCATTCTCTTTCAACCTGGCTTACTACTTGCTTATGCTGTAACAAAATAAAATAAGGAAAAGGAATCCAATGTACGTCATCTTGGTCAAGATGGTGTATAATAACTTTCCCCTCACTTCTCACCTGCAGCGAGTTCATCACACCGTTGGCCAGGACAGCCATCTTGCCAGCAACCGACTTTACTCCCTGCTTGAACTGAGCAATGTCAGCTGCAGGTAGTACATTTCCAATGGAGACATTACCTGCAGAGGAGAAAAAATATAAATATCAAACCTGATAGAGCTTTGCCAAATAAAGAAGCTATGCTTATGAGAGGGAACTTAACTGCTTGAACTCGACCATTTTTACAAGCTTTACTCTACTCACTGCTCTGTACCAAACTGTCCTCAATATGGAACTGAGGGCAGCAAAGCCATAGTGTTGAGTCATGAATTATCACAGTGCAGTTCCAAAAGAATAATCCTTTTTGGTTTTTGATGGACATACCCAAATTTGCTGTTTCAGATTCTCCAAAAAGATCAACAGAACTAATGGCATTGCTTCCTGAGAGCTGCTGGAGTCGGGATCTGGCCTCATACTGGTGGAAATAAAAAATATTTTTAAAAATAAGGTGGGGGGGGAGCTAATATTGATCAGGAACATTGCTATTTACAATGGACGGAAATAGGCCTCTGTGGGCAGAGAAATCATAGAAAACCTACCTCAGCATCAACTTCTCGCCCAAAGAACATGTCAGATGAGATGGCTTTGGCACCCGCAAACTTCTGTCGAGCTTCATTAGACTCTACTACTGACACCTTGCTCTCCGTTTCTCTTCTGTTGGTCGGTCTGAGTAGAAGAGAAAAGCACTGAAATCTTTCACCGACTATAAATTTCAAGCAGATCCCTTCTACTCCCCATTCACACAGCTCTACATTAGAGCAAAGGACTGTATTTCCCTTACTTTACCTGTCACCAATGGGTCGGATGTTTGACACTGTGATGTCTGTCTCCTCTTCTCTTTTGTCAAGTCCCCAGGAGGGCATTTCTGTTTCCCATTGTGAACCAAAACCATCTCCCAGTGAGAATGGATTATCTTTGTACCTAGGAACAAATGCGAGAAAGAAATCTATGCAGGCCAGATAGAGAAATACTAACAGAACTAAAAACTCAGCAAAGCTTAGTCGTACTTGGGTGGTCCAGATGTGAAGCTTCCTGTATCTTCAAAGAGACCCAGCTGAGACCGAGAGGACTTTACACTCACTGGCGTTTCTTGTTCTATTACTTGCATCTCAGACAGGACAGAATGCGAAATGGAACTAAAAGAAACAATACAAAGTTAAAAGGCCTGGCAGAACTCCATACTTCCAAATATTTCTTCAACACTAGAATTACCTTGGCACATATCTCTTTCCACTTACTTAAAATGAATTGCATTTGCCATTTGATGGCAGTTCATCTAGTTTAAAGAAAGTCTTCTGGATATTTTCATGATCCTTTTGGTTTTCCCACCCTAAATAATTTAATAAATTTGGCTGGTTCACTACTTAGGCCTAAGACAATTTGTCTATGAACAAATTAGAACATAGTGGTCTCAACAATGAAGCTTGAAGGACTCTAGTTCTTACTTCCATCTGTTGAGAAAATGAGCCATTCATTCCTACACTATTTGTTTTTCACCAGCTACTATAGTAATCCATAAATGTACAGGTCTGCTTAGCCTTGACAGCTAAGTTTACTGAACAGCCTTTGATAAGGTTGTGTCAACGTTTTTTTAAAAAATCCAACTATACGATAGCAATAGAGTTCTTTTCAACTTGTTTGCTTGATGGTACTCTAAAATGGGGACTGACATCTTTAGGCCCATGAACTGGAGGTAGCCCACCACTCAGAATCATCTGGTCCACAGTCCCAAATATAAATACATATGTATCAGTGGTGGGTGGCCCCCGGTTTGGACCGGTTCTATAGAACCAGTAATAAAACTGGAGGAAGGCTCTACCTGACCCTGACGTCATCAGAATGCTTCTGCGCAAGCAAAGCGAGCGCACGTGCGGCCCCGTTGTGAACCAGTAGTAAAGGTGAGTAGAACCCATCCCTGATATGTATGTATAATCATGTGAAAAAGTACCGCCTCTTTAGTTCTGTGTTTTTATATATCAGTATATAGTAAAAATTACCTGGTCCTTAGCAGTTGTTAAAAGTAGGTAAATACAACTTCAGATTAACAACATGTAACATATTGCATCATGTCATCATTTATTTTACAAAAAGAAAAGTAAAATGGAGAAACCACCTGTGAAAAACTAAATACACCTTGCAATTCAATAGCTTGTAGAACCACCTTTAGCAGCAGTAACTTGAAGTAATCATTTTCTGTATGACATTAGTCTCTCAGATCATTGTGGAAGAATTTTGGTCCACTCTTCTTTACATCATTGTTAATTGAGGTTTGTGAGCATTTCTTTATGCACAACTCTCTTGAGGTCCCGCCACAGTATGGGTTGACATCTGGACTTTGACTGGGCCATTGCAACACCTTGATTCTTTTTCATCCCGTGTCTTTCTGCTGTAGAGTTGCTGGTGTTCTTGGGATCATTGCCGTGTTACATGACCCAATGTCGGCCCATCTTTAGCTGTTGGACAGATGGCCTCACATTTCATTCTGGAATACTTTGGTATACAGAGAAGTTCATGGTCGACTAAATGACTGCAAGATGCCCAGGTCCTGTGGCTGCAAAACAAACCCAAATCATCACCCCTCCATAATTGTACTTAATGGTTGGTACAAGATGTTTGTGCTGATATGCTGTGTCCAGTTTTCGCCAAATGTGGCACTGAGCATTATGACCAAACGTTTCCACTTTGGTTTCATCTATCCAAAGAACAGTGTCCCAGACGTCTTGTGATTTGTTCAGAAACAGTGGTGGCATAGTCTTTGGCCCTATATGAAGAAGGCTGGCAAAGTCTTTTTTAAAATAACCTCCAAAAGAATTTTCTTTGTTGAATCCATGCAAAACTTCAGAACTTGTTTTGTTCTGTGTTTAATTACTGATTGCTATTGGTTTGCTTGCAACAGACCTTAAACTGACTGCTCCACAGTGTAAATTTCTCCAAACTCCCTTGAATTTCTTATTTAAATGACATTACATTAGGGATTTCCAGTCTTCTTATTGTTAGCTTAAATTGAATGAAAAACTAGGAATTTTTTTGCTAAGATAATAATTTAATAATAATCTAACAGTGTTTATAAGAATTTTTAGGTAGATTCCATCAGAACCTGATGATTTGTTCCAATGTCGTGTCTCAAGCTGACCTACAATACCTTCCCTTGTTACTTCAACTGGCTTTAATGCTTCCAATCCTCTACCTAAGAAAATCCATACAAGCTCAGGCAGGTTCCCTATATTTTCTGTAGTGAAGACAGATACAAAGGACTTGGCTCAATTTATCTGCAATGTCTATTATCTCTATATCCCTGAGAATCTCTTTTTACTTTTCTGGTACTTTTCTGGTACTTTTCTGGTTTCATTGGCTGGTTTTCTGCTTCAAAAACATTAAAATTAGTTCTTAATAAGTTCTTTATCGGGTTTTTTTGCCATGCTGTCATTTCTTTTTCTGCATCATCTTTTATTTACTTATAAAATTTATAGGCCGCCCATCTTGCCTCAAGGTAAATGGGCATCATCATCATCCTTTTTAATCTTCTTTTATTACCCTTTTCTATTATAGTTTGTGCTTTATTTGTTAAAAAAGACTTTCCCTAACTTGTACTGATTTCTGAACACTATTTGACTATCACATTAGCCACTGGCTGACTTTTCTTATTGCAATTTCTTACTCCAAGGGCCACAATATAAATCCCTATGAAGGGGGCTGAATGTATACAGCATCCAAACAGCCTTTGGAAAGAGCAAAGGCACAGATCAGGCCTGCTGAGACTGCTAATAGCTTCAGTCAGGCATGAAAAAGAAGGGGAACCGTGTTTTTATTTTCCAATAAAGTAAATTACCTTCTGGACACCAAGCCCATGCCTAGTCTTTCAGCCTGCTCACGCTTCTTCCCTTCTAAGTTTTGAAGTTTCTTCTCCTCCTTCTTCCGATCAATTTGGAGTTCTTGATAGGCCAATCTCATTGAGGCAACTCTGTGAGAAAGACACCACACAAGCATCATCAAACCATAGAGTTCAAATAGAGTTCCTCCATAGTGTACTGTATATATCATATCCCAGCCCACGTTTTGAATATAAATATCAGAACTGAGAACAGAGAAGCTGAAAAGTATCATGATCCAGGCTCTATTCATGTGCTGGCATTGGCCATTATTTTATTTATAAATTCTCAGGTCTGAATTGGGCATCACATCTTTTTTTATGCTTCCTGAGTTCGTTCTCCAGTTCAATCCCCATATGAGCAAATCTATGTGTATCCTAACTTAAGGATGCTAGATATAAAAGCCACTCACATAGATTCCTCCGCTTGCTTCCTGTACTCAGCTGCTTGTTGCTCTTTCAGCTTTTCTGCCATCTGGGCTTGCCGTTCAACTTCTGTAAAACTCTGACTGCTCACTTTTTGAGCTCCAAGACCTTTTTTGGCTCCCAGCTAAAGAAAAGGAAGCAGAAGACAATGTGAAAGTCACTGAACATGAAACATCAGAGGAATTTGCATGAATTACAGCAACCTATGAAAGGGCACGATAGAAATTGAGATATCCATTTATCATTCCATTTTCGAATTACTTTATTACAGAAAGCAAAGATACAAAACAATATCTTCAATTATGCAAGCTTTGCTGTATGAACCAAAAGTGTGTATGTGTGTGGAGGTGAGGATGGTATTGGGAGGGGCATCTATTATCTTTGCTCCAAGACTACACCAGAAACTCAAATGCAAAACATAAATATATTCATTTCTGAGGGGAAGAAACCATCTGTCCATGACAGTTAACTCACACTAAAAATAAATACAGGGTTACAGTAATCCCCCAAGAGCTAAATCCATGGCATTAAGAGGACCATTTCAAACTGTTAGTATGTAGAAAGGTTTCCAGAGAACTGGATAATGATGCTGTCCACTAAGAGCAGAAGAAATGAAAGAGAAGAACGAGGCAAATCCTCATTAGCTTGCATAAAAAACAGGCAGCAGCCACGGCAGAAAAGGTCACTCAGAAGGGACACAACTCTGCCAGAAAAAGCAAGCAGGTGCACGCCATGGAAAGGGAAGGTCTCTGACAACAAACTTACCCCTTTTTTTGCTCCACCTGCCTTCTTCTTTCCAATAAGGGAAGGCTTTATTTCTGCAACAAAGGCAACCAATGAAGGATGAGCTTAAGCTGCTGTGAATACTAATACTCGTCACAATATTTCAAAATTTTAATGGTTAAAAGACTACCATGGCCAAGTGTCCTATAAACATTGTTAATATATCCAGCAGCTCCAGCAGCAGCACACATATTCAGTGTCAATATGACCAGCCATAACATGCAATTTCAAATTAGTAACCACTTGGGACTCCCCTTCCAGTGATAAGAAAGTAATAGAATTATGACACTAAGACGTGGTGACTTTGATAGGCAGTAAGCTCAGAAGTGTTGATGGGAAAAGCCCAGTAGAAACAAAGTATTGCTATAAACTTAAAAGAGGCATATGTTGCAGGTTGGTCAGTAGTTTCCACACAACCAAAGCAAGGAGAATTTAACTGTCCAAGTTGTGCCACATGTGTCCACTTAACTAATTGCCAAAATTCCAGAAGCAAAATGTAATCTAAATTTCATTGCTAAGTAAGAGCAATTCCTTCCATGTTGGGTTGAGATCTTAAAAGGTGCAAGACAGATAAACTTAGAGCTGGAAGCAGAACCACAGAAATGGAAGGCAAATAGTCCATACAGAGCCAGTTACCTCTGGCCGGAGCTGCCCCTTGTGGAGACAGACACATGGATGCGTCTGAAGGAGAAAGAGACATGCATGTATTTCATTCTAAAAAGATGTTTAGATGAAGGTTGAGATACAAGTCTGACCTTCAGCAAGTTCTCCCACACAAGACTGTACTGTGGTCTGTTAAATTGTCAGTATTGGAAATACTGAATAGACTCAGAGATAAACTAAGAATATTGTCAAAATGCATTTAAAAAAATGGATTTGGCTTTTTTGCAGATAACCTTTATCTGAATTTTTATGGTGATAAATTTTTTCTAAAATACCTGCGGTTTTTAAAAAATATCTATTTTTCATATATACTTCTGTATAAGCAGACCCTTGAAATTTAAACCAAAATAGCATAAAAAATGCAGGTCACCTTATCTGCAGGTGGCAAAATTTTATGGTATTTTGGTTAAAATTTGAGGGAATGGTTTATGTGCTTACGTGAGTATATACAACATGTTTCATATATTAGTTAATTAATAAACAAAATATATCACATATACTCACATGTAAAATGACATTTAAATCAAGGTAGTGTGTTTAAAAGTTTTTCTTATTAGGATTCAGTGCACCTTTCATATTCCTAAATGAAAAGACCATGGATGTTATGGAAAGTTGTATTATTTTATTCTTAAGGGTATTTATATCAAAGTGAAGGGAACATAAAAATAGAAATGAGGTATAAATAATATCTAAGATCGTGACATTAGACAATCAGGCCACAATCTGAATTAGTTGGATGTTATTCTTGAAAAACAAGCCAAGGCCATATCAGGTTGCTACTCTCTCAATCCTCTTGAGAAATATTAGCTGAGGCTACAGAATCGCAGTGATTTCAGCAATTCCAGGAAAATCCTTCTGATAGATAGCCTATTTCACAGGGAATCAAACTTGACTCAGGCTGTTATAAACTCTTCAGAATTAAAATGTTTAAAAATAGAAGCTGGTTGGCTTCCTATTAGAGATAATTATAGCCATCTCTGGACAGCGAGGGATTAGACCAGTTGACATTTTAATGTTCCCTCCAATGATTCTACAGTTTCCCAAAAGATGAAATCTATGTTACTCAACTTCTACCATATTGCAATAAGCAGTTTGAAATGAGAACTATTCATCTTCTCAACCCAGTATAGCATCTGAAATAAATCTATGGTCAGTGCAAATCATCTGAAGTGAAACCGAGTATTGCTAGCAGCACTGTGCATTGAGGAAAACAGGAGATATGTATACTTACCAAGGGAGCCTTTAGGAGAGGTGCTCAATAACTCAATTGATGGACCTTGGTCATCCTCTACAAAGTAAAAAAAAAAAAATCCCAAATTGTGATGGTCTAGAATAGGGGTGTCAAACTTGATTTCATTGAGAGCCGCATCAGGGTTGTGTTTTACCGGGAGGGGGGGGGCTGGAAGGACGTGGCCAGTGGGGGAATGGCCAGCTCGACATCACTCATCAAGGCTCCGTTTTCGGCCATGACAGCCTCCTGCAGCATTCTGCCAATGAAAATGGAGCCTCCCTGAGCTTTGTTTTCACTGGCAGAGGGCTGCAGGAGGCTGTCGCAGCTGAAAATGGAGCCTGGATGGGCCACGCACAGCCTCCCTGAGCTCCATTTTCTCTGGCAGAGGCACCACGGACTGGTCCTTCACCATTTCAAGGGTGGGCCCACAAGCCAGATCTAAGCACCCTGCAGGCCGGAGCCTTGAATTTGACACCCCTGGTCTAGAAGCATTAGGCATATCCCAAAGGACCACAATTCCATGAAGAAACTACTGAAATAAACTGAGGAACTTATCAGAGAAGCACTTACAGCAAATGACTGATTCAGCGAAAACCAGTTTGAATCTATGTGTTTTATTGTTACTCTACTGACTGTAACAATGATTAATGTAACATGAAAATGGGGATACTGGACTAACATTTTCTAGCATATTCCTAGTTTTAACGCTCCTAAGCAACTAAAAAAGGAAAGTAATTAACAAAATAGTTGACATGCTATTACAACTTTGCTTATCTACAAATTTTGGCTTAATCCTGCTTTCTCAACAATCTATAATTAAAACCAGCTATTATCTCAGCCTATATGTATATGAATGCAGCCACCTATCAATAGACATGTTTCTTTCATTTTTCATATATTTATCCTGTTGGAATACAGAAGTTCTAAATTATTCAAACAGGTAATGCTCTTTAACTGAAAAAAATGCTCAGTTCAGAAAAACAAAATAAAGCTACTACATGTATCACTGAACTGATTACATAGTTTTGGTGTATCAAAATATACAGTCTCCATGACATTGTCTGCTGATCATCAAGCTTAATAGCAACCAAGGTTCATTTTATTCAGTGGAGATATTTAATATGGAAAGAGAAACTAGATATTTGGCTTCTGCTTTGGTACTTACGTGGAACCTCATTATTTTCAGATGGCTTTGCTGGTTTCTCCAATTCTGATGTGGAATCTATTATGCTCTGCTCTGTCTTAGCCACATCCCAGTTATTACAAGCCTTAAAGAAAATAATTCAGTTCTTAGAAAGGCTCACAACGTTAATTCATAACTCAAACAAGATCTGGCCTAATAAGTCACATATTTCTCCAACATTGTAGACAGTGAATATGACTACTTTCTTAAAGATAGGTTTCCATTCTAATAGAGTTGTCAGTCATCAATTATGACCCTAACACAAAGAAATAATATTCCAGCCATGAGGTATATACAGGCAGTCCTTGACTTAAAACAGTTCGTTTACTGACCTTTGAAGTTACAACAGCACAGAAAAAAGTGACTGACGACCATTTTTTACACTTATGACCATTGCAGCATCCCCATGGTCATGTGATCACCTTTTGCAACCTTCTGACAAGCAGTCAGTTGGGAAGCCAGATTCACTTAACTATGTTACTAACATAGCAACTACAGTGATTCAGTTAACAACTGTGGCAAGAAAGGTTGTAAAATGGGACAGAATTTACTTGTCTCACTTAACAGCAGAAATTTTGGGCTCAATTGTGGTCACAAGTCAAGGATTATCTGTACCCCATTTCTGATACTAATCAGCCAATCACTTCTAAGAAATTCACAAGGGGAAGACACAACATACATTGATTAGTCTAAAGGCATTATATTCGGTTTGAACAAAGAATACATAAAAACTTTTGTTAAGTATTATCCAAATGGTTTGTATTTCAATGAAAAAATACAGGCTTTACACATATAGTGTAAAATTCCAGCTCCTTTAATGAAAGCAGCCTTTACAATCTGTTATCTGACAGATTTGCTGGGACTTCAACTCATAGGATTTCTGACAATTTAAACACATCTAGAAGCCACCAGGCTGGGGAAAGCTTAAGCTTTGAAAAAGATCAACTATGTCCAGTACTATTGTATATAGCGCTATCCTGATTCATTACAAATGAATATATGATTGCAGCTCAGAATTGCAATGGAAAAAAAAGGCAACTTCTGACCAGGTTGTGAATCCAAATGGTTCACCATAAACTAGTACTCAGTTAAAAGATACAATATAGGTAGTCATGTTAAACAACTGTAACTAGGCCCCAGGAACTCATTCACTAAGTGATATGATCATACAGGAAAAATATCATATGACCATATCATATCACAATGGTAGATCCAGTTGCAGTTGTTAAGCAAATCTGGTTGTTAAGCATGACATCACAGGATCACAACAGTTTCTCCATTAACTTCGTTTATCAGTAAAGGTTGAATATGGTGAACACGTGACTGTGGGCTGCTATAACAGCCACAACTTCAAAGATTGGCTGTGAAGAAGGGTCTCCTTCTTCTCCCTATCATAACTTCAAATGACTGCTGAATGAGTGGTCACTAACCAAGGATTATCTGTATTGAGGAAAACTCATCAGACAATCCTACAGGGAAGATTTGCAATTGAAAAGCAATTCAAGTTGGCTCAACAAACCTGTGTATGCTCCGAGAAAAAATCAGCATCATTCCTTTCCAGAGAGTGGCCAGGAATCCCACTCAGGCCATCAATCAGGAGCTAAAAATGAAGAGGATCATCTTTGGATTTTTATAGCAAAATCTTATAATTTCCCATCGCCCCCAAGAGTGCACAGACTTATTGATCCTTACATCATTTCCATATTTGGCCATGGCAGCACTTGCCAGCTGCTGGATCTTCTCTCGGTACATGTGAGCAGCACGGCTATTATACTTGGCAGGGGCATCAGAGGTGGTACAGCCATGCTGGCAGAAAAAAGCTGTCTGAAACCAGAGAAAATATAGTTGAAAAAGAACAAACTGAAATCTAGATATTTCCACTGTAGATATGTAGTGATTGACCTTCAATGGTGTAAGATGATCCAGAAATATTGAAAAAAATTACCATATAATTTTTAAAAAGTTTGTTAATAACTATTCACAAAGTTATTCACCAGGTACCCAATCATAGCATTCTCTAAAAAAAGGAACAATTAAAAAAATCAAATGCCCTAAATAATAAGAGAATATAATTTCAATTGGTCCTTACCGCATTGGCATTGCTACCCACTTGCATACATCTCAACTGAAACCAGCTCCAGTTGGAGTCAAGCTCTGTAGACCTATAAGGGGACAAAATTGGCATTATATATTATACACAAATTCACCATACAGATGTCAACGATTTCCAAAAGCCAAAATTCTCTTCTGTCACAATATAATCTGTTGTCCTGTCAAAAAAAAACACCAAATTTCATTTCTCTTAGTATGGTACTTACACACAACTGACAGGAAAAAGCTAGCACATTCCAAGCTTTTAATCAATTTGCAAGAAGATAAAGATCACCTTATTATATCAGCTTTCCCCAAATTGTGTCTTCCAGAGCCGTTGGCACTACCAGTCTGACTATCCAGGGCGCTTGATTTAGGGAATGCTGACTTTTATTATATTTCTCCAGTGCAGAATTCTAATTTTTTTCTATCTGACAAATTGGGAATAATTATTAGTTTATGATTTATTCATCAGATTTATATCCCTTCACAATCATAAACAGACCTTTGGCAGCTTGCAATAACAAAACAAAACAAAAGCTTGCAAAAACGTAAGACTACAAAAAATATATCAGAAACATCAAAAAAAAAAAAAAAAACCAATGGTCTGGTGTAGTGCCCAAAAGGCTCTCTTTTTTTCTAGAAGGTAAATAATGTTGGGCACAAACAACCCCTCAATGGGAGACCATTCCAAATGGCAATCCCTATCACAGAAAAGCAATGCTTCCAGATTCACATACACCTCGATCTCCTCAAAATAGGGTAGACGCAGCTGCTTCTCCTGGCACTATTGGATTGGTCAATGAAAATATGAAGTCCTGAAAGTAACCTGGGGCCAATAAAGAGATTTATAGGCTAAGACCAGCTGTTTAAGTTGCTCACAGAACTTAATAGAAAGCCTACGGAGGGCTCCTAAAACAGATGTACTGTGTGCCCATCAGAAAACATCTGTGAGCACCTAGTCAATTCATTTTATAACATTTCAAACACAAAACAAATAAGCTAAAGCTATAGAGTTGACAATTTAACAGGGCAGGGAATTTGTGACTGTTGATGGTTCTGAATTACAACCTGCAGCATTCATTCCTCATCATTGGTTATGCTGGATAGGGCTGCTGAATCAATACACTGGCAGAGCCAGTGATTCTTTATACCTACTCTATAAACTACTGTAATACTGCAATATAAATAATTTAACACTTTTGTCAACACTCTCTGAACAATCTTCTGTGAGTAGGTCTCTAATTTTTCAGACTTCACAAATATATTGAAATGAGATGTTATAACAGAGAAAAAACAAAATGCACATTTAATAACTAATTCACTTTTAACTATTTTTTTAACTATTACAAAATAACTACTTACAAATATAAAATAGGAAATGATTAAAAATGAAAATGTTTTATAATCAGTCTATCCTCTTAGAAGCAAAGACAGATAAAGAGATAGAATGTGGAAGAATTGGTCAGCTTGTATGTAGGACAATGCATATTAGAATTTTTTCTAAATGTTGAGAATAAGGACAAAAACTTAATGAATGCATTTGCACATCACATAAGGGACATGCTTACTGAAATACAGTATTTTATAAATGCAAACAGGAGTGGCTAACAAAATGCAGACAACTTCTTCAGTGGGGAAAAGAGAAGACATATTATTCAAACAAGGGATGATGGTGATGATGAGTTATCCAGAACTCTATCATATACATCATCAAATAAGTCAAGGTTGGAGGCATCTACGGTTTGCTAATCGGTTGTGCATAACTAAGCCATATATAGCCTGCACTGTCATATAAACTCAAAGACTCCAAATAATTCATCCACAGAAGTCGGAAAGAGCCTTATCACTGAAAAGAATTTGAAGATAAATAAAGCAGACTTTCTAAATTAGCATTTAGCTATAATGCTCAATGAGATACAGGCAAGATTTAGAGTAAAAGGAATGATTAATCTATTCAGACCATTTTCTAGGGTTGGTTATTCAGAGCTCAGAAGAAAGATGGGGGGGGGGTGTTTCCTATCTCAGCCCCTGCAAGTTTTCTAAGCAAGATTTCAGGATGGTTTGCTTTGCCTCATTCTTTCCAGGGCTGAGAAACCTTGACTGGCTTTATGCCTTAGGCAAGAGGTGCTGATGCCTTAACCCTATCCCAAACTGGATCTCAAAGATACAATATGAAGTGTCAGAATTATGCCATCTTGCATATGTGGGTTTATTATTTGAATTTATTTATTTAGTCATGTTTATGTAATCTATATTGACTCTCTGAGAACTGTATGCAACGAAATTTCATTTTAACGTATGCCAATTAGTGTACATTTAAAGTGACTATAAATTTATTCTAAGTTCTAAGTTATATTTTTAAGACAGGATAGAAAATAATGTTTTTTTTAAAAAAAAAGTATGCTAATATGCTCAAGAATGTATACATTGATACAGTTATTTAATACCAGAAGATTTGGATTTGGGAAATAAGATAGTATCAGGTCAGCAGTCCTTGATCATCTGTCAAAAATAAATTATTAAATAATTCGACTTGAAAACATGCAAAGGACTCCATACACCTAAGGAAAATAAAACTCAACTGTCCTCTTGAGAGTCAATTAAGATAGATCTGCTCGATGCAAAAAAATAAATGCATTTCCTTATGTAATCAGGCAAATGATGCGGAATGTTAACCCATCACCTAAGCAGCCCTTGATATTATTTTAACGCGTTTTTAGCCCGCATCCAAACCCGACTTTACCGGATGAAGCTGACGTGAACGCCCAGCGAGCGGTGGATTCCGGAACAGTCGATACAAAGAAACACCCCGTAGGTGATACTGGCCCAGCTCGGGTTCTTTGCCCCGCAGTCGAAACAGGACTACAAAAAACAAAACAAAACAAAACAGAAAAAACAGGGTAAATGTAAAATTAACGGGATCTCCCAGAGATGGAGAAGCCGTCTCGTGAGGTCTTAAAACCGAATCCGTCACCTAGGCAACCCCTCGTTTCCCCTCAGCAGCCGCTACGCTATTTTGATGCCGGACCGCTAACGCGACAACCCCTCGACTTCGGAGGCTCATCTCTCCCTTCAGGCTCGCCACAATCGGGTGCGGAGCCGAGTGGTTTACCGGCAAGGACAGAGAGAGATACGGATCAAAAGGCGGGTCAATTCCGCTCTGAAACGACTCGTGATCCGGACAACAACCCTCGAGCGCAAGGCCCACAAGCTTCGCCCTCAAGTACCTTATTGGCTGGCGCAGCTCGCAGACGCTTGAAAAGGGTCTGGATTTCCACACGGCTGGGCCCCGCCGCCATGTTTTCTTTCTCCCAGCATTCACAGTGCTCGGCAGCCGGTCACAGCATGGGCCAATCCGCGTGAGCTGGGCGGGCTTCTACGGATACGGGTCCCTCTTAGGGTCAGTTTAGCGCGGCCTCCATAAGGCAAAATACTTGGCGGGAACCAGGATTACTGCCTGCGAGGTCGCCGGGAAACAAGAGGACCAGGCCCAAAACCTGTTCTGCCATCAACTGTCCCAACCGGCCGAACCGGGCAAAGGATTTATCTTTCCACAACCTTGCCGTCCCTTAAAGCCTTCGACCGCTGGAAAGGGGAGGGCGGGTCCCCTAATCAGATGAGGGGCGGGGCTTTGTGACAGGTCTTGTGCAGAAATTGAATTTTTTTCCTTCTGTGGCCTTTCCTAAAGACCCTGAGCTGAGGAAGAAATGGATGTTGGCTGTGAATGGGGTTTGAACCAGGCCCCAAGAAATTGTGGATCCCCAGTTCTGGCGCCTTCCTGTGTTCTGAGCAATTCAATCAAGAGCGTTGCCGGCTGGAGAATTTTGGGAGTTGAAGTCCGCACATCATAAAGTTGCCAAAGTTGAGAAACACTGTTTTAACTAGGTGTCATTTATTAATGCAGTTTGTATGGCTGCCTATCTCTGCAAGTGACTCTGACGGCAAACAAATCTTAAAATCCATCCAGAGTGCAAAAATCAAAACACAGCAGCCAAAGAGAATGTTACAATCTACGACTGTTAATACAGTGAGGAGATAGGACCCTTCACAAAGGGAGGAAAGTGCTGCTAAATCAGGGCCGCTGCAAGCTGGTATGCAAGTGATGCACTGCAGAAAGTTGCCATGACACATTAAATTTTAAAAATTCTCAATTTCTCACACCAAAAGTGGGTGCTCACTTACATCAGACTTCATTTCTCCCAGACTGAGGGCTCTATATCGATTCAGAGAAATCATAACGCATTGCACAATCTGAAACTATCAGTGCCTCCAGTTCACATATTCTTGTGATTCTAGGAAGCTCAGCTTCACAAATACGAGGTGTACCAAGTCTATGCAGTGACACAGGTGTCTTACAGGTCAGGGTCAGCCCTGTGCTAAGTGAATATTGCATGTCAGTCTCAGTCTATTATATAATTTTTTAAAAAAATTTGATTTATATGCTGCCCTTCTCCGGAGACTCAGGGCGGCTTACAATGCATTAAGCAATATAATAAAATAATGTATATTATTACCTAAATGTTTTAATTAATTTTCTTATGGGATTTCTGAGAAGAGAACTACCTCGTTCAAGGTATTCATTGGAGGAGTTCCAAAATGGAGACCTAAGTACCAATCTCCTACTCAGAGTTGCAGAAGATAATGGACTTTACATCACTGTAGTTTTTGATGACGTAAACTTTTTCTTCAAACTATGAATATGTGAAGCAACTTAAAGTGAATCAGTCTTGAGACTCAATCGGTCATGGAGTCTTATTATATTTCCATGAACAGCAAGTTTTTATGTGTTCTGTTTCTTTCCTACAATTGACATCCTTTGAACTGGAGATAATCAGGGTGTGTCCTGGGAGCTTGTTACAAAATATGCACCTAAGGGCATACGCTGAGCCTGATGATCCCCAGAGCAAACCTTTCAAATGCCTTCCTCCTGCAATAGTGAGTGTTAAAGTTGGGTAAATGAGGACGCAGCAAGCCAGAGTAGTGAGTGACAACAGCTCTTTATTATATAGTGAGAATCCAGCAACTAACCCAGGGAGCCAGCTCCCTTTATATACCTTGCAGCTGTAGTGGTCAGCCAATCAGCTGAAGGTCAGTTAATTCGAACTTCCCGCCAAACAAACCTATTTACATAACAGTGAGAGCCCTTCTCCAGGATACAAACTTGAAGACTGAAGACACAGAAAGGTCACACAGCTTCTTTTTCCTGATGCTACAACAGTCAGGCTAAACCTGGCAAGAGACTCCATTATCTCCTCTATCCCCACAAAGTATCCCTTCTCCAGCTCAGGAGAAGATGCTGGTAGGGGTAGTGGTAATGCTGCTGTTGCTAAAGTGACAGCTGATTTAGGAACCAGAACAGAGAAAGAGGCAGTGTAGTAGCCACAATTCTTCCTTCTGTATTGCTTCTCTGCTATGGTTCCTGTTGGGGCTCCATGCAAAAATGTGGATGCTAAGCAATTGTGAGGCTCTTAAGGCTAGAAAGCTCTTTCCAATATGGTGTCTTTTGTGGGAGTTTATGCTGTCTTCAGCCCAATTGCATGTCCATTGAATATCTTTCAATTGTCCTACAGTAGCTGTCTCTTTTTTTCACTATTAGTACACCCCTGACTATCCATCTGCAATAAGTTTCATTAGAAAACTAAAGGGGAGGGATATTGATTTTTCCACATGATTCCACAATTTTCCACATGATAGATCGGGCAAAATTATTGTCTTTGACATATTTCTCTGTATGTGAATACAGGTGGACCTTGTTTAGTGACCACAATTGGAATCAGTTGTTAAGCAAAGCTATGGCTGAGTGAAAATCACACAACCACAATTCTGCTTACAATTTTATTTCAGCTTTTCCTGGCTCTGGGATCGTTTGCAAAAATTAATATTTATATTCATTGGTGAGAAGGGATTACAAGAGAGTAAACAGACACTCCAAGGCTATGTGCTATCCAGTAAGCTGCCAGTCACGTAGGACTCAAAAGAAAGCCTTTAAGGTGAATTTGATTAGGGTCTTGTCAACTTAAGGGAGCAGCTGCAAGCTGGCCCAGAGTTCTAATCAACTAATTAAGGTCATAGAGCTAAGCAAGCTGTTAACTCCTTAACACTTTTAGTGATGCCTTGGCTTTGGAGAAAACTTCTCAGGAAGATAGAAATCTGCTCTTGTTGGGGGGGGAGGGAAAAAGAGAGTGACTCCCATGAGCATTATTCATGCTTTGGTCAGCTAGACTCTTGTAATTCATTGTCTATGGGGTTGCATTTGAAGATGACCTGGAAGCTGCAGGGGGTAAATCTGTTAGCCACATGGCCAAATAAGTCTTTTAAAGTCTTCAGTAGTGGGCTATTTCACCTAATTACATGATATTCCAGTGTCTTTTGAATCCTGCATTGATAGTCTCTGAGTGAAAACATACATATATTTACATTTTACATCCAGAATGGTTCATAGTATCAGATTGGTTCATGCCTTTCTGTACATGGAGGGACCCAGCCTCTGCCTGGCTTCCAAGACAACAAGCCTGAAATTCTCATCAGATAATGGTGCATGGATTTTTCAATGCATGCTGATGTGGATTTTAAAAATAAGCCCATTATGTCTGGTTTTGCCATAATAGGAATATCACACATACTTGTTCACAGTATTGATGCTTTCTCCATTCCCTACAGTTAGTAACTGAAAGCAATTTGTAACTTGGCCAGGCCACCACTTTCATGGTAAGCCCTGACTTGAGCGCCTAGGCCTAGGGAAAGCTTGTACTCCCTCCAGTCCAGATAGTTATACCCTGTCAGTCTATGCTTTGTATCAATTCAAAGATGCAGTGAATAATAAGGTGTTCCCTTGCATAATTCATAAAGAGGCAGACAGACGCATAAGAATGTTTCAATTCATCTTGAGTTTGCAAATGAAATTGTCGTGTAAAATATCTCTGGTGACTTCATAAATCACCTATCCCATTTCCCTGCCAAGGGGTAGAATTGGCTCACCCTGGCTCCTCATCTGGGATGTTGTTCTACTTTCCAGTCTAGTCTGTTGTCTTAAAATTTCCTGATGACCTCTCAGCCAAGTATTAACAAGGCCTGACTCCTGTTTAGCTTCCAAGCCTAGGCAAGACTATCCAGGTGCCACTACCTACCCAGCCAATTTAACAAGAGACAACACCCAATCAGAAATGTGTTGATGAACAAAATCAGTCTGTTGAAATAATTGACCCCGCCCGATAGGTGGCAGCTCTTTTCTCCCATTCCAAGCAAACACACTGTCAAGACAGATCAAAGCTGAAAATCTTTATCCTAATACTTCTAATGTGAAGGATGAGCACACCCATGTGGGATTTCCACCAATGTGAATTATAGTGTAAGACTATTATAAAAATACAAGTTCTCTACTGCATGAATTCATTATGATGTTTAGATTTTAAAACCCTGCTGCTTAAAGCTCTAGCAATAACCAATCTGTCTTCTTTATCTTTATCTTTATCTTTATTTGATTTATATACCGCCCTACTCCTGAAGGACTCAGGGTGGTGAACAGCCAAAACAGTAAAAAATATATAAATACAAAATTTAAAAACAGAATAAAATCGAATTAGACAATTTGGTCCAGACAGATTAAAACACCCTAATAATTTAAAAACTGATGAAAATTTACATAATTAAAAAAGAGGGAAAAAATTAGGCCAGGCCGGCCTGATGGAATAAAAAGGTCTTGAGAGCGTGGCGGAAGGTGCGCAGATCTGGGATCCTCCGTATCTCTGGGGGTAGCTCATTCCAGATAGTAGATGCCCCCACAGAGAAGGCTCTCCCCCTGGGGGCTGCCAGTCGACATTGTTTGGCCGACGGCACCCGGAGGAGCCCCTCTCTATGAGAGCGTACCGGCCGGTGGGAGGCTATTGGTGGTAGTAGGCAGTCCCATAGGTAACCAGGTAAGCCATGGAGCGCTCTAAAGGTGGTAACCAAAACCTTGAAGCGCACCCGGAAGACCACCAGGAGCCAGTGCAGCTCCCGCAGGAGAGGTGTTACATGGGAACGCTATGTCGCTCCCATTACTACCCGCGCGGCCACACTCTGCGCCAGTTGGAGCCTCCGGGTGCTCCTCAAGGGGAGCCCCATGTAGAGAGCATTACAATAGTCTTAATAATTGTGTTTTAGAGAGAAGGTGGCATTCTTTCTCAGTCTTTTTTCTTGGCTAGATTTGCACATTATGTTTTCCTCTTGAGATTTATCAGCTTGTATTCAGGATCAGTTTTTGATCTATTTAGGTTGAGGCAGTGGTGGTATTCAACTGGTTCTATCCAGTTCGGGCAAACCAGTAGTGGCGGCTGCGGGAAGCTCCACCTACCTGCCCAAATGTCATCACGTCCCGTTTTTGATGCTCTGTGCACGCGCTGAGGTGGCGCGCATTCGCATTTGCAAACCGGTAGCGAAGGTAAGTGAATACCACCCCTGGGTTGAGTTCACATATAATCAGTAAACCAGATTAGTGGTTTGCTAGTTTTAAAGTAAAAAAAAAAAATTACATTGAATGAACCTAGCCATTTTAGGCTATACAATCATGGCTATGGTTTATAGCTTAACCATTAAAACTGTAACACGACATCTAAAGATGCCATCTGAAAAATGGTACTCACAGAATTCTTATATATATATATATATATATATATATATGTTTTCTCAGGTTTTCGCGGGTGTTTGTATGTAGGTCTTTGGTTATTCGG